GTGACAGAAAAAGGAATACAAAAAACATCTTACGAGCAACTTAAAAATCCTGTCAAAACATTATAATTTAACATTAGCATGTAACATGATTTATATAGCAAGTAAGACAATTGTGCCTGCTCTGAAGAGCTTGCAGCCTGTCAGGAGACAAGACAAGACACTAGGGGGGATTACACCATGAAGGAGAATAAATGAGATGAGTGACAGAAAAAGGAATACAAAAAACATCTTACGAGTTTAGGTGAATGGTACAACACACATAATGTGAGCTTCCGTCCTTTCTTTTCTCTTTTGAAAAAAAGTCTTAATGTTTTTTAACTTGCTAAACTCCTTTGATAAAATTTTGCAAAACATATCAATGGTTTAAGAGCCACTGTTGTGTTTCCACAAGTGTACAATCATTTAACATCCATGAGCTTGGTAGCTAGTCAGTTGAAAATCAAGTTCATAACACACAGGGTTGTTATTTTGCGTTTTGGGACAGGATGTCCACTTGGCTCTGTACCACAACTTACTTTCGCAGAAAAGTGTTTTCAGTGGAGGATGATAGGGAAAGTTCATGGAAAGAGTGGTTTAAAAGTGAATGTACTTCATGAAAAATCCTCTTGTAAGCAAGATCTTGGAAGATTATTTTGGGCAAGGATGAAGGTGTGATTTGAAATTGAAAGAAGTTGCAGTGCATAAATTATCAGGAAAGAGGTTCTGGGTATGTTTGTGGAAGATGGACCAAAACAAGGATAGAGAAATAAAGAACTGGCACAGAATTGAGGGCTCAGCCTTGCCTTCTTTCTTCCCTGAGCCACTGGCATTCTCCTTTGCTCACAGTGTGCACCAAAACCTCTAATATACCCCATCGGCTCCTCCAGGCTTACATATCCCATTCACTTCTTTAAGTGCTGTATCACCAGTACATACGTCCTTCTGTGCTCTTTTCATGTAGTCAGTCTTGAATAATTCTGTTCTTCAAAGTGATGTCACTGAGTAGCTGGGAAATAACTATATATTAGAGAAGACTATGTCAGCTAATGAAGTAATTTTTACCTTGTTCTTACAATAAAAATCCCAGCCTTTGACTTGCTCCAGATTTTACCATATAATGCACTAAAGAAAAGCACCAATAACAAAACAACAACAAAACTTCTCTTTGATGCTTTGTTTATAAGAAAAGTCCACTCATAATGAGAAACAGTTTGGAACATGAAAGGAATGCACAAAATGTATCTTTTGGTAGCTGAAAGATGCAGGGAGGTACACTCCTGCCTGCGTGCATTAGTAGATTAATAGTGAATTTTGTGAATTGAAATGTAGTATAGTTGTATGAGAATTTATGGGTGTTTTCAGTGATGCGAACTTGTGAATGGCTTGAGAAATATCTATTTCTAATAACTGTATATCTTGCCTCACATTCCTGAAATGTTCCCAGAGCTTGGGAAAAAAATGTAGCAACTTTTTATGTCTAAAAATAAGATATTTACTGAAGAAGTAATGAAATAGTTAAGATACACATTTCCCAGACTTCAGAATTAACTAGAACTGCTCAGGCAAAACCTTCAGTCTGATATGGGAATAAATTTAAGGACAGTAGAAAGAGGTATCATGTTCTAGAGTAACAGCAACGAGTGAGCAGGTCCGTATTTATCAGAGGAGACTTGAGGCCTTTGTCAGTATTTTGAGGGGTGGCAGCTGCTCCTGCACTGTGTGATGTGAGTATATAAGTGCTTGGGCTCCTCACTGATATAGGACCTGGATCCTTTGCTGTGAAGGACACTGTCTGAAGAGTTGTCTGTGGATTTTAATCTTGGCTCTTCCACTGGCCTGTTGTGTGACCCAGGGCATGGCACAGCGTTTGAGCATATTCCTCGCTCTTTTGTCTTCTGCCTCCTGTGGACAGTAAGCTCCTCCAGACAGAGGTGAACTTTTGTTAGATGTTTGTACCAGGGCAAACACAGTGGATGGCTAACCCCGATAGTGTCTGTGCTCGTTACTGTACCTTCCTCCAACTTCTTTGCTGCTACCGTGTCTGTACCGTGGGAGAAGTAATGTGGATGTACTGTGGATGAGTAGCACTTGTGAAAGAATTGCAGCACAGGCAGGATGTACTTTTCTTCATAAAAAGAATTGCTAAACCCCTAAGATAAGCACAAGATAGCAGAGGGCATTACCAAAGCATAACGATGCAAAGATTCATAATAGGTTACAGAAGCCTTTCAGATTTGTTCACTGTTTTTGTTTCTTAAAAATATTTTTAAGCACTGGAAAAATGTAAAACCCTTTAGAGAGTGAACTAACAAAAAACCACCTGCTAAACAGGAGAGCCTAGCTCTGCACAGCTGAGGTTTGGGATGAATTTGAGGTTTTTCCTTAGAATTCTGAAAACCTACATTAGCACGTATTGGTGTAGTAGTTGCTTTCTAGCATGGTCTCCTAGAGTCCCAGAGGCATTACCTGCACCACCAAAGCCAGTGATTGTGACCATGCACATGGCCATGGGGGATGCACGTGGCCATGGGGACTTCAGCATGTTCTTCTCTCAGAAGCATCTCCTTGATGTATCTACCAAATGAGCCGTAAAAGATAGGAATTACCACAACAGACGAGGGTATGAGAATCTGCCTGGCTGTTTAGGGAAGTGAGAATAGTGGGATTTATGAATTAGCATGAGGTTGTGGGAAGATGGGCTGAGGCTTATACATGTGTGTGGAGAGAAGAGGAATATGGGACAGTGCATGAAAGTTAATCTTCTAATATGTATGTTTTAATACAAATAATTTGTAACTAAAAATTTTAATGGGCTGTAAAATCAACATTCTAGTGAGAAACTTTTCACTCGTTCTTTTCTTTGTGGTTGAGAAATGAATAATTTTATATTATTTCATAGCTGGTTCTTGAACAAAATGTCCTCTTCTAGAGAGGAGTCTTTCAGAATGATACTGGGATTAGCCTTTGAGCTACTAGTGGTGTGGAAGCAGCTAACACCATTGACCCTGAGTCTTTGACCATCGTCTCTTTCTTCTCCGTGTCTTCACATGTTTAAGGCCCATTGCTTGGGTCACAGGATAACTCCCCAGAAAATTTCAAGTTAGAGAAATGTTTCATGCAATCCATGATATGAAATGGAAAGTGGATGCCTCAGTTAAAGCAAAGGAAAATGGGAAACAGTGGCATCCTCTGGGGAAAAAAAAATCCAAGCAAGTCAGGAAATCTGTTGCCCATTGACAATAAATAAATAAACAGAGAAGTTGTGGCCTGGTGCTGGTGCAAAGACATTTGTGAATGGGGATGCCTGGGTGGACCTTTGGATTCCCATTGCTTGGCTGGCCTGTGAGGCTTCAGTCAGCAAAGCATTATTTGAGATGTTCTTAAATATAAGCAGGCACGCTTATTGAAGTTAAATATCTGTTAAGATGCTTTGCCGGCCCAGTTTTTTTCTGGCCCTCCATTTCTAGAAGTTGTGGTATTTAATTCTTAACAGGAGATCAAAATGCTTGAATGAAAAGATCTCTGTAAAGAAGGTTGCATTATAAAAGGGAAAAATAAACATTAGCAGTTTTCCTGAACATGTATAAACCAAAACAGCTTATTTCTAACATTTCAAAAACATGAGATAAGTTTATTTCCCTTTGTTTTCTGTTTCCTGTAACTTAGGTTTGATACCATTATAAACTTTAATTAAACAGTAACTAGTAATGATTGTACAGAACAGCCTGCATTGCCTTCTTAATTTGTCTTTTTTTTCCCCAGTTCACTCAAAAAAGCACAATAAAGGAGGAAAACTTTTAATCTACCTCTCTAATGAAATGTACAGGAACATTTAGGTAGATTTTCCTGATAAAGTGTTCTGCCTTTTCCATAGTCTCATTTCAAGTGGCTGTTTTAATGCTACAGAAATCATGCATGCTACCAGAACATAGGGACATACAGAAATGCTCTGGTGATCCTTATTTGAGTGGAAAGTGCTTAAACATTTTATCATTTGGAGAAGCAGTATGATGCATGTAACATTTTTTACTATTTTTTACCAGTTTTCTTAACAGTTTTGTTGATGGGCTAGTATGAAGTTTATTTTAACAAATCAGATATGTAAGGAGTGACCAAAAGTGAGCGCTCCATAACATTAAAACATGCCTGTCTCCATCTTGATTTTTGCCATCTCAGGTAATTTTCCTTTATAAACGCCTGCAACTTTTTCTTAAACCTTTACTGGGTCCCTTTATCTCATTCAGCACAATGCAGTTCTTACTAAAACAGAAGTAGTTTTCCCTCAGAAGCAAAATTGAATCACAAGTCATGAGGTGGAGTTGACGCAGGGATTTCGGAGGTTGTATCTGATTTACTTAACTTCACGTGTTTTTTCTTGTTGTAGGATCAAACCCTGAAACTAAAGCAAGCTTTTTTCCCTCACCTAAAAGAAAACAGGGTAGTCAAGGGAGTGCCATTTCTGATCTGTGTGAGGCTCAGTTTACTAACAGTGAGCAGAGTTTGGTTAACTTCATATTCTGGACAAGCTTGTAAATTTGTCCCCTTCTAATGCTGTGATCTTATCAAGGTTGTACTGTTTTCCTTTTCTCCTCCTCCACCCCCGTCTTCTTTCTTTCCTTTTTCTTTTTTTTTTTTTTTGAAGTGCAATCAATGTGCACTTTTTTTTCCATTGCCCTAAATACATCAATACATCACCACCCCCGTCTTCTTTCTTTCCTTTTTCTTTTTTTTTTTTTTGAAGTGCAGCCTTCTGATCAATGTGCACTTTTTTTTCCATTTCCCTAAATACATCATGAAAAAGGATGAGGTTTCCGCCTTAATTGCTTGTGCCTTTTATTCACATTCCTCTCTCAGCCAGAATTGTGAAAAGAGTGTTAGTAAAAGGCTGCACAATAGAGCTTTTCATTAGGCCTCAACAAGGCACACAAAAGAAGGCTTTTGGAAAGAGTGAATGCAGGACTTTAATTTGCAGGTGGAGAGTAGATAAAAGGTGCTGACGCCTCTATTATTCTCTTACTTAGGTGACCCTTACCCCGTTCAGCTGATCCCAACTACCATGGCAGCTGCTGCCGCAGCAACACCAGGCTTAGGCCCACTCCAACTGCAGGTAAGTCTGAAAACAATGCAGAAGAGGCAAAGGTTAAGTAAATATGAAAAACGGTTTTCTCTTCCCTTTGAACACAACACAATTAACAGGGGCTTTGGTCTGTTCTCTTCACGTAAAATTTGCATCGGAAGCAAAATAGTCGTCAAATCATACACATTTTCCTTTTACCTTGGGGGAAAATTTTGTTACATTTTTGTGTCTTGATTGTCAATTTAACGACTTTTAGGTTTGTCCCTTAAATTTCCACAGAGCGGTATGTTTGCTTGTCTTTTCCATTAGATAGTTCTGATGCAGGCTGTACAGGCTGACTAGGTGTAAACCAGCAAAAGGAAACACATTGCTGGGCAGAAGAGCTCTGTCCTGACAAGCACTTTTAAACTGCTTAAAAGTCGCTTAACGTGATTATGTCCTTTTAGGCCGTAAGCTCTTCAGAGCAATGACTGGCCCCTCCTACAGTATTTTATGGTACCCAGCACATTTTAGGCACTGCTGTAGCGCAGATAATTAGCGATTATACTAATTTAACATAGGCAGTTGGAAAACAGGTGGAAAGATAGTAAAGAATTTTTTTTGAGCTACGTTAAAGAGTTGGCCTGGTAGCCAGATGTATCTGATTCAAAACTTCCAATATCGTTCTAAATTTTGGAGGCATTAGGGTGTCCATGGGTCTTACTGATAGCGATGCAGATGTTCCTCAGGTATTCCTGATCAGCCCACAACCCTTGTCAAGTCATTGGAATTAAGCAAATGTGATGTCCATTTCCGCAGTTTGAATTTTGTTACCTGCCATGTATGCTTTGCTGGTAGGATGAAGCCGGGTAAAATTTGGGACCTAAATGAAATCAAAATCCAAATTATCTCTAGTTCTGCAAAATCTGTATTGATGCTCTTTTGTAGAAACAAAAAAAATTCCCATACTCTCTATTGCTAATTTGTCTCCTCGCTCATTATTATTTGCCAAGTCACATGGAACAGCAGAGCTTTATACCTGCTTGGAAAAGCTCAGCATTTATAAACAGTATGTGTAAAATGCATTCTCAAGCTCAGTTTGGCCAGCATCAGTATGAAGTAGACTGCAACATCAGATATTTCAGTTGTTTGGCCAGCATACGAGAGCGTGGGACATAGTTCTGGGGAAGATTTCTTTTTTTTATTTTAACACAGCCAGCGGAAGTTAGCTGAGTTTCACAGAAATAGCTGCCAGTGTGTAAGCTGACACATTCCATGCACCACAGAGGTTAATACATTCATTCCTATTGTGCCTTTGTATGAAAAGCTACACTGTCTGTGTGTTAGTTTCTGATTCTGTGAGTTACAAATACCGTAGGCGGCTTAAGAATCATGGGAGCCATAAAAGTCATCCCTCTGAAATGAATTTTGAGGAGTAACGTCGGTATTGATAAAGTGCTTATAACAGCCAAACACACATGAACACACATACGGAAGAAAGAAGGGAAAAAAAGGAAAAACAAAAATGGAGCTAGCTAGCAATGAGAAAATAGAGATCTGAGTCTAATTTTCCTTATTTTTGCGGTCATTCAAGCTAGTCCTAAAATAATGCATCAGTGCTCCAGTAAGTTGGGAGGATGGTTTACTTTCATTTCAGGACCAGCTTTGGGCTGTATCTCTGCATGTGGTGGGCTGAAGTATTCTGATTAAAATAGGCTTTATCACAATGACAGTTTGCTTATAAAAAGGTGGGCTTTGTGCAAATGTGACTGACTTCATAAATATCTTAAGAGGAGTTTAGGTTGTGGAAAATTTGAAAACCTCAAAGGCCTCTTGTTTCTGTGCAAAGGAGAACATTAAAATGAAAGTATTGACCAAATTCACCTATCTTGTTTTGCTACGTGTTATTTAGTCTGCAGTTAAGGGGAGACTTTGGCAGCCAGTCAGTGGGAAAGGTTCAAATTACTAACTCTGTAGACTCCTTCAAATCTTTCAGACTTGATCTCTAAGGGTATGTATATGCTGGAAAAAATCTAAAGCTGTCTTTCTTCACATCTTAACGGTGATTTTTAGCTATCAGCATAACCTGTCTAATAGAAATTGGACATGCCTCTTAACTTCTGGTGCCATTTGAAAAAGTCAGATAGGCTAGATGTGCTTTGAGAAAGGTTTTATGATACAGTACTCAGAATGGACTCTCACCCATGCTAACGTAAGTGGAGCTGAATCTAGCATAGCTGCTAGCCTAGAAGGATTGTGCCTTCCAAACCCTGTTCAAATCCAGTTTAGCTCAGTGATGACTGTTTCTTCAGTCATGAAGAAACATTCATGATGTTTGTCATGAAGAACTGGTCCAAAACCACCTTTAAATGGCATGAATCAATGTGCAGCTGTTACAGTCTCTTTCAAGGAGGAACTCTTCTTACTTCAGACATTCCCCTAAGTTACATATAACCATAGTGTTCCCTACAAACCCTCTGTCATCTGGTCATCAGACAGTAGAAGGTCGGAAGAGTACAATGTTCCTTCTTTTCTTCTTTTTCTATCCTCCCTATCACTCATCTTTCAGGCTTTGTATACTAAAAGCAGTAGTTTTCAGGGGAGATCAAAGAACCTGACACAATGCTCAGTTTGTTGCTCCCAGCAGAATTTGGTACACAACGTTATCTTAGTGAAGACAAAGCCAAGGAATTTTTCTTGTTTGTTTGTATAGCGATAAACATGTCTTTGTTATTTCATTAGAGAATTTCAAGTCGAGGCATGGCTTTAGTAGTGTACTGTGAGATCAACAGGAAGTACTTTTTTATCCCTGGTTGTCAAAATTGAATTTTCTTTTTGTAAATGAAATGCACACTGTATTTACAGAAGAACAGCTAACACCTGATTGTTTTCCTGTGGCAAAGATACTCTTTGTCAGTGAAAATGTAATCTCTCATTTTGAAATGCCCTGTTGATTCCCACTGACGGGTTCGTAATCTGAAGCCCTCCGTTTCTCTCCCTGCCTTTGAGACCCCACTGGGGTATACAGATTCTGTCATCTGATATCCGCCACAATTAGCCATACGTGATTGCCTTTATTTCCAGTATCCACAGAGAGACTAATGGCTCTCAATAAGAATGGAAACTAAAACTTGCGTTGTTAGATGTTGCAAAAGGAGTAGATGGATGGGGCCATGTTGGAGAAGCTGGAACTAACACGATGCATGCTTGAACCTGTCCTCTGATAAAGAACTATCAGCCCTGCATATTCACTCATACCCACATTTAATGACATAAATGCCATTTGAAAAAAAGTTTTTAGCTTTCCTCTGTTAATGAGAAGATTCAGTCCCAAACATTGTGTAAAGTGTCATTTTAAAATACACCCTCATTGCAGTAAAATCCCTCTTGGTTAGCACGCGAGTTTCTTATGTTGATTTTTTCCCCCCGTAAATTTCATATGGTTTTGTTCTTCAAGAGTGATGCATCATGGTGATTCTGTTTCAGATGAATGAGAACAAAACTGAACATAGCCTTGCCACTGTGTTTTACTGAATAAAGCTAACGAATCGAAAGTACTGCTATACGCCTTATATGAACATGATGTTTTCCTATATGGTTCAACAGATGAGGGAATTAAATTCCACCATCTTGAAGATCAGCATTCAAAGCTCTGAGCATAGATACCATGTAACAAGTTTTACACAAAGTAAACAGAAGTGATTATTCTAATACCAGTCATCTTGGGCATACCTAATATGAAATAGATGTTTCCAGAAGTCTGAGCAAATTCAGTACAAAATGATATCTGGTGGTTTCTTTTCTGAGAAAAAATAATTCCCGAGTGCTTTCTGAGCATTAGGAAACAAAGGACCTGATCGCCTGATCTGAAAATTGGGAGGAATCTGCACCATTGGGAGTGCGAACGGTTCAGATTTCCCAGATTGTTTGTTTGATAACCAAATAGTGACAACGACTGATTAATTGGCAGTAATACAAATGCTGTGTATACCCATAACTATACTGAAAGATAATGCTGGATGTATAATGACAGCTGCCTGTGTAGTGTTACTGTATGGACATTTTGTGTCCTGTCAAAACAACATAGCAGTCTGATGTAATACAGACTTCCTGCAAACATCTGCTCTTGGAAAAACACCCCAAAAAGTTTCGAGTGCCCATGTTCAAACTGTCTTCCCTCTTCATCTTAGCATGAACCAGGACATCATGATTATTGGTGGTTGTGTTCAACATTATGACGGATCAAGAGAACCTCATGTCAGCATACGGGTGTGAAAGCATTTTACCTGGGTCTCCGTTCTGAAGACCAGCCATTTGAACAATCCTGATTGATTCTCTTTGGCTATTTGTATAAAGATGATGGGCAGATTTAGAACTCAAACATATCTGGCAAGATAATTCAGCCAAGTTTTTTAGTCTGCATTGTCTTTATTAAGTACTTGGGTCGATTTTTTTTTTCTTACTACAAACCTATCTTTTCAGTGGTGTGGGAAGATGCATACCACGGACTGAATTTCAATGGAATTTAGCATACGTAGTCTGGACCACATTTTTAGAAGAATTTGAGCCACATGTAGGCACTGACAAGTGGCTAGATTTTGAGAAAAGTTAAACCTGTTTGGAGTTTAAGTGCTTCTCAAAGTTGTTCATCTTGCTATTATTTAGGTGTCTGACTTACTACACATTTTCCTTTGGAAAACCTTGCTTCTAGATATCTTAAGGGTCACATAACCATCTGTGGTCTCCATGCTTGTTTTACTTGAAGGAAACGGAAAGGACAGAGCTATTTAACAAGTATACAGTGACTGATCAGAAGATAGACTGTTCCAATGGTCATATGAGTATTACATAAAACATCTGTTGCCTATGAAACAAAAATAAAGCATGAAGACTGCCTGCTCAGTCAGATACACTTTTTTTTTTTCTTACATACTAGCTTCCTTTTGGCTTCTGCACCGTTGCAGGGATGAGCTACATCTCTCCACTTGGAGTTCAGGTTATTTCTCTGAAGTATCTCCTTAAGTTTCATTTGAAATGTTGCTGATGATAGA